GACTTGTACTAGCAGAGGCACAATGCATGAGGCTTAACTCAGGAAACTTGGAGAGGTTCGTCTAAGGAGCAGACAAGGAGGAGGCAGGGTTCAGTGGTGTCAGCTGCTGCGGGATCCCAAAACATGAGGATTCAGCAAAAGTCTTAAGACTTGCGGCCTCTTTCGGGTTGGGAGAGAGGCGGTGACCAGCCAGTGAGAACTTGGAGGTAGTTAAGCCGCCCGCTCAGGGGTGAAAGGAAAGCAGAGAGCACCCTGAAGGAGCTGCGAGGGTGAAGAAAAAGAGGATTCTATTTTTGGTTTTGTTCCGTTTGGAGTTTTAGGTTAGGGAGACCTGCCTGTGTCTTCGCAAAGCTCAAAAAAGTGGCAGAGGCAGACCTGCATGGTCAGGAAAGAGGTTAATTAATGGAGCAGGTTCTTGAAGGAGACAGGAAGCTTGGAAAGAGAGAGCCCTCCGCTTCTTTATTGTTTTATACACTTTGCTTTAGAATAATTTCAGATCTACAGAAAAGTGGCAGAGATAGTGTAGCCAATCTCTCACCCTCCTCCCCAGTGTCCCCCATTGTACTGTCTCATATTACCGTGTTTCATTTGTCACAACTAGGAAACCACCGTTAGTGCACTCTGTTAACTGAGCTCTGGACTTACTCGGATTTCACTAGTTTTTCATGTAACGTCCTGTTTCTATTCCAGGGTCCTATCCAGGACACCACAGGACAGTTGTCATGCCTCCTCAGTCTTCTCTGGGCTGTGACGGTTTCTGTCTTCCCTTGTTTTCCATGACCTTGACAGTTTGGAGAAGTACTGGGCAAGTATTTTGTAGACTGTGCTCAGTTGAGGTTTGGCTCATATTTTTCTCCGGGCCTAGCACCAGTGAAGAAATGAAGAAATTTCCAGTAAAACAATGGGAAAAAGTGACCCTTTTCCTCTCAGCCCTCTCAAAGGGATGGAACCGTTTTTTGGCCAGATAGCAAAGGAGCTTTTCCCAGCAAAACCAGAATGTTTCCATTTGGCTTTTCTTGGAAACAAAAGAGGAAACCATGGGCAGGGCCTCGGGCTGGGAGTGGAAGCTCTGGGCTCCCTCCTGCATCCCCGCCCGACCAGCGAGGGACACTGCAGGTTGCCATCCTCTCTCCACAGCCCTGGGAACAGGGCCCTGGCTCTGAGCATCCGCGTCAAACCTGCTCTGCTCCCGTGATGGTGGGCTGGAGTGGGGCGGCCATCGAGGAGATCGTCAAACCTGCTGTGCTCCTGCGATGGTGGGCTGGAGTGGGGCGGCCATCGAGGAGATCGTCAAACCTGCTGTGCTCCTGCGATGGTGGGCGGGAGTGGGGCAGCCATCGAGGAGATTGCGTGGTCAGCATGCCGCCATATGTCTGTTAATTAACCTCGGAGGAAGCCGTCGACCCCTTGGCCTCCCGGACCCCTATATTCTCATTTATGGAGTCCCTGAATAATTGACTTGGCGCCGTCTTTTAAGGGTTAAAGCTGTCTTTGTTTCTTGCGGCTGGCCCCTCCCATTTAGTTTCTCCTGTTATTAAAGTAGCTGAAGCTAGGCGCAGTGGCTCACACCTGTAATCCCAGTGCTTTGGGAGGCTGAGGCAGGAGGATTGCTTGAGGCCAGGAATTTGAGACCAGCCTGAGAAACATAGCGAGACCCCTGGCTCTACAAAAAAAATAAATAGGTTTAAAATATTAGCCAGGATTAAGGGCATGCACCCATAATCCCAGCTACTCAGGAGGCTGAGGTCGGAGGACAGCTTGAGCCCAGGAGTCCAAGGCTACAGTGAGCTATGATTGCACCACTGCACTCCAGCCTGGGTGACAGAGCAAGACTCTGTCTCAAAAACTAAAGCAGCTGGGGTGAAAGCCAGATGGGGGGAGGGGAGCCCCTCTATGCCACACCAGAAAGTGAGTTCTCCTGGAAAGTACTTTAGAGTGCCTTAGCGCTGCCTGACAACCGTGAAAGCCATTATTGGGTGGCACTGATTATACAAGTTTTGTGACCCTGCGACCCCAAGCCATTGTGACTCAGCCAACTGGAGCAATTTCTTCAACAGCGTTACAGAAAATGGGGCAGCTAATGGTTCACACAGCATCCCCTCCGGCCAGTTAACTCAGTCATTCTAGCAAAAAAGGCAGCAGGGTTCACTCCTGATTTTCGTGAGCCAAGCACTCCAGTCATGCCCCTGGCCCTCCCTTTTCTCTGGGTTACTTGAACCTTTCTCCTCTCTTATTGTGAGTTGTTAAGCCTATGAGACTGAGACCTATGAGAGCTTTTCCCATTTTTCCAGAGCCAGCTGCTCTTCCTTCCTGGTTGTAGTGAAATGTTGTAGCTTTGACAACCAAGCAGCGTGATGTAAGGTTTAAGGTGGGGTCCGAATGCAGGGGGCTCCCGACTCCCAGCTTGGCCTGGCCCTTGACCAAGATAAGACCTGAGAGCTTCCTTTTCCCTCCTGGTTCCAGTTCTCCAGCCCAGCATCCTTCTTACCACCTGTGCACAGAGACCAGGTCAATGACTCAACTTAACCTATTGGCTCAGGGTCCTTCACATTGGGGCTTTCTATAAGATGGAAGGGGCCTTACCCCTGGAGCTTCCACTGGGGTACCCTGTCATCATCTGAGCATGGAACATTCCCAGAGAGACGCAGCTCCTGCCCGTGAGAGGCTGCTGTGCAGAGCGTAGCTTTACCTCATCTTACAGCTTAGTTCCTTGGCAGGCCTGGGATTGTTTTCATTCTTTTCTGCAACTCACTTAGGAGTTTTCCCAGCAGATAAGGGGTGGGGTCATAACTTCACTCATCAGGGAAGGTAAGATGACTTGGAGATAATTGCTTGATAAGCACGAGCCTAGAGCAGAAAGGACAGTAATGAGCACTGTCTCACTATCACCCTGTGCGGCAAGAGCATCACAAGATCAGGGCGAGAGGGGAGGACCAGGATGAGAAACAAGGGCGAGAGGGGAGGACCAGGATGAGAAACAGGTTGTGGCTAAACGTGGACCACAATTAAGCTCCGGCCTACAGTTTTCAGGTTAACACTTTCATGTCCAGAAGGTGGCCAGCAGCCTCCGTCTTCCATTCCCAGGGGTCTGACTGGGCCTCCATGGGGTTGGGGTGGAAGGAGGGAAGGTATCACCTTTGTACTTTTAACGCTCAGGGACTCGGGGACCCAGGCCAGGACTTGCCACCTACAGAGTCAAGACCCACCCAGTGTGTGTTTGTGTAGTCCTGTGTATGTAGATTCAAGCCACATAACTCTTCTAGCCCAGAATGCTCCCAGCAGGGCCCGCCTCCCCACCTAAGCTGACCGCAGTGCTCCTGGCGGTCGGGGAACCCACAGTCTGAATGCGAGTACCCTGTTTGGTCCAGGACAGTGGAGACTCACGCTTCTCCCCAACCAAGCAGTGATCTGCTTGCTGCCTTTGGATTAGGCCAGGAGACCCTCCCTCACTGGCCTGTCTTTTATTAAGAAGGAAAACCGGACCCGTGTTTGAACTCAGAGCTCTCAGGTTCATTTTAACACTAAAGTTCCTGTGCCTGTGTGCGTTTTTATCCTCTGCCTTGTCCAGCCGCGGGGCACGTGGCGTTGTACAGTCCTTACCGATGTTTGGAGCTGCCTGCCCTAAGGTGGGGCTGAGAGGCTGAGAAGATGCTGAGCGACAGTCCACAGGCTGGGGAGTGCAGGGCTGGGGGGGCTTCCTGCAGGTAAAGTGAGGTTGTTCTCCCAGAGCCCATTTGGTACCTTCCTCTTCAGATGCACTTCTGATATTAACTCCTTTATTCTTTAGCCATACCCAAAAGGCAGGGAAGGGCCGCATCTTACAGTCCCTGCTTTACAGATGGGAACACGGAAGTAATAGAATCTGAAGCCAGACTCAGCAGCCCCTGGTGGTGGAAGCACACCTCCCTGGCAGAAGCAAATCTGCTTATGTTCCTGGGGGTAGGTGAGGTTGTGACTGCTGCAGGCGGAGGTCTGGGTGGCCCTTCCCAGTGTTTCCACCTCTGCTGTCCACCCAGCACGCCCGCAGTCACTGCCATATCGTGAGGGAAAGGAGAGGAGAAAAGAAGGAAGGAAAGAGAGGCCTATCCACACCATGGGCTATCACCAGCTCCTATAGCTGAGAACCAAGGTCCCTGATGAGCGGGCTCTGGCCTAAGAGTGCCTCTGTGGAGGGGAGTGGGCCAGCGAAACCTGAGCCCACCCACTCCTGCGTCCAGCCGGCTACCACACTGGAGGCCTGTGAGTCACTCCCCCGGCAAGCCCTGGTACGGGCGACGACGAGGGAGCTCAGCTGGCGCTGAGTGGACTTGGCAGGAGGCCTCCTGCCCAGCATCTAGTTCAGCAGTGCCAGCGAGGGGAGGCCCTGACATGTCATTTACTGAGCAGCAGGTCTCCAGGGCCATTGCAGCTGCCCTCCCTGGTGCATGTGTGTCTGTGACTGCGTAACCATCACCCAAGTCAACCGTTAGAATATGACACCCCCAGCCATGTGGCACCTCCCTGAGCGTAATTTCCTCCTCCACCTAAACATCACCGCTCGCCTGACGACAATGCTTTTCCTTGATCATTTATAGCCACATGTAAGCATCTCGCTCTGCGTGCATCCCTAAACAGCACAGCGGTTTTTCACTACATGGAATCGTATTGCGTGTGTTCCTGTGGCTCTGGCTTCTTTGGTTTAGCATTGTGAGATGCACTCACAGTGTTGTGTGTAGCTGGAGTTATTCGTTTTCACTGCTGTATAGTGTTCTGTTGCCTATAAAATACCCCTGCGGCCAATGGGCGGCAGGTAGGTGACTGTTTATTCCTCCCTTGCTGGTATTTTTAGTACCTGAATTAATCAGACACACCCCGTAATGGCATCTGCAGCTACCAGGCGTCTCTGAGGGGCAGAGACCAAGAGTGGTCACAGAGTCCTTGCGAGTCTCACCCTTCAGCGTGCGGGGACTGCGTTGTTGCCGGCAGCCAGAATTAATGCTGACGCCCTGTATGTCTTGCAGCTTGCCGGGATTGCTGTCCTTGCCATCGGACTATGGCTGCGATTCGACTCTCAGACCAAGAGCATCTTCGAGCAAGAAACTAACAATAATAATTCCAGCTTCTACACAGGTGAGGGACGGGGAAGGCTCAGTGAATTCCGACTGCGTGAATTCAGACTCTGGCGCCAACGGAGTTCCTCCAACTTTGGAGGCCCCAGTTGACCCAGGGACTTGGGCTTGGGAAGGACTTTTGCTCTGGCCACACTGGCCCGTCGTGTCCCTTTCAAGTTGTGCAGTTTTTGCGTGTGTCATTGTGCCTGTGAATTTGCATTTAACTGATGTGGTTTCTTTTCCTGATGGCCAACTTGGGCATGTTGATGGTTTTCTGATGTGATATTGCGTCTGCCAAAGTTGCACCCATTCTTTTTTTCTTTTTTATTTTTATTTTTTGAGATAGAGTCTTGCTCTGTCACCCAGGCTGGAGTGCAGTGGCATGATCTCGGCTCACTGCAGCCTCTGCATCCCAGGTTCCAGCGATACTCCTGCCTCAGCCTCCTGGGTAGCTGGGATTACAGGTGCATGCCACCACACCTGGCTAATTTTGTATTTTCATTTGTATTTTTAGTAGAGACAGGGTTTCACCATGTTGGTCAGGCTGGTCTCGAACTCGTGACCTCGTGATCCACCCACCTTGGCCTCCCAAAGTGCTGGGATTACAGGCGTGGACCACCACTCCCGGCCAGTTGAACCCATTCTTGAGGGTTTACAAACCTCTGTTCTCATCTCTGATGCTCTCTCCTAATTATGTCTTCTTATCCTGCATAATTTCCTTAATTCAAAAAGCTTTGTCCTGGGGATCTGCAGTGCTGGAAGAAGATATAGATGGGTTTCCTCTTCACTGTTCAGATAGGGACTCTGAGACTCAGAAAAACATCAGCCTCCTGGAAAACACAGCAAGAACAGGAGAGACCAGAATGGACTCTGCCCAGCCCTTTGGACCCCCTGGTACTGGGGTAAATGCTGTGGTGTTTAGTTTTATTTGTTTGTTTTTGAAACGACTTTTGCTTTGGGAGAAAGGCTTCCAGTTTAAACCTGCCTGGGATCCTCCGAACATGAACAGACTTGGCAGGGTTTTTTTTTCCTACACTCAGGCAGCCTTGCTAGCGCCATTCTGTCCCTCTCGTTGCTGTATCACCACGTCACAGCTCCCTTCAGAGGAGGGGGATCCTGGTGCTTGCCAAGGGCAGTTGCCTGCGTCTGCATGAATTCAGGCTCTGTGGCTGTATTCTGCCTGGCTTGGAGGTAGGAAACTTTTCATTTGTGAGAAACAAAGGAAACCTCCTATTTTTAGGATGACACTGACATGTTGTCAGGCTCAAAGTGTAAGTTTGGTCACTTCCTTCCCACCCACCAAAAAAGTTATTTTTACAAAGGAGGGAGAAAACAGTTATCTCCCAGTCCCTCAGGGAGAAGGAAGGCTGGCCAGCCGTGTAGACCTTCCCTTTCCCACCCTTTCCCACCTCTTGAACCGGGTAGGGAGAGTCTTTAAAAACAGCTCATTGGTTGCGTAACATTTGAGCCCTGTGGATAGTTTTGCTGGATTTACTGCCTTTTATTGTTAGCTGGGGTTTTTTGGGGTGTGTCTTTCTATTGTCAGAAAGAAAGTGAGAGAAAGCACAACGTATGTTTAAAAAGAAACTACACATACACACAGAGGTTTTAGGGAAAAGGTTTCTATAGCGCCCTGACTTGTTTTAGCAACAGAACATTTTTTGCGCGTCTGCAATAGGCCTAGAATGCCGTCCTGCAGAGCGGGAGGGAGGAGCCGGGTGCGGGAGCTAGGGAAGACTCCATGCTCCACGCCGTGTTCCATAAGAGAGCCCTGTGTTGGGGGAGCAGATCTGCCGGCAGGAGCAGGCACAGTCAGGCCCGCTTTCCTAAGCAAAAGCCCTGTGGCCGGCGCCTGTGTCTCCAAAGAGAGGCTCAGCCCTCCCTTGTCCTGGCTGCTTCTAACAAACCACTTTTTCTTTTCTGTTACCCAAAGCGTCTATGGCTGATTCTTTATATTTTCAGATGTGGGAGGTAAGAATCTCATGGGTAAGAGGATGGAACTGGGAGGAAGAGTCCTTCTCCTAGCAGACGAGCTTGGAGTGCCAGCCACACCCTGGCTGCTTTTCCAAGGGAGAGTCATGGGGTGACCACCCCTTACACTGGGCCACCAGCTGTCTGCAGAGCAACCCACAGGCCAGCCTGACCGTGCGGCTGACTTTTCAGGAAACCCAAACAGCCCAGGGGTGTCTTTTCTCCAGTGGGGCCACTGCTTACCAAGTAGAGAAAAAGTATATCACCAGGCAGAAAAGCAAGTGAAAATCTTCCCAACATGCAGACAGTCCGTGGTGAGTCCAGAACGGCTGACGGCCTTATATGGGCCTTCTCTCCAGTCCAGGCCTGGAGATTCAGCCCGTCAGCAAGATCCCTAATCCCAGGCTGCAAGCATGTTGGGGAACTTCGTTTTCTTGGTCCTAGGCCAGCAGCCTTTCCCAGCTCCCTGGTGTCCCTCCAGAACCATGGCTGCTGAATGAGGGCTTCTAGGAGGGCTCCAGCCAGAGGCCGCGAATGCCCCCCACTTCCTTGGCCAGCCCCCTATCCATCATGAGGTGCCTGGTGATTTTCAGGACACACGACACTTGCCTCAGTGAGCTGGCGTCCCCATCCTGGCTTGTGACCTGGGGCAGTTCGTTTTGTTGCTCTGGGCTTCATTTTTCTCCCTCCTGAAACCAGCACGGCTTACACACCCACTCCCCTCTGAGGCAAAGAAGTACAGTGTGTGGCAAATGGAATTCCATTGTGGTGCTTATTCCTGTGAACTCGGGAGGGTGGGGAACAAAGACGGAACCAGTGGGGGCAGAGGTGGGGTTCCTTTGAACACCTGATGGAGTTATTTGGATATAATAAACTTTTATTGCAGGCCAGAGGCCCTACCAGGTTTTGTTCTCCTTCACACAAATGGGCGTGGTGAATGCTGTTTGCAAGACAGAGCTGGTGTGGGCACAGGCGCCTGCTGTGTCCTCTCCCTGGCCTAAGCTGAGAGCCCTGATGAACAGTGAAGAACACTGTTCCATTTCTTGTGTAAAGGACACCCTGGCTTATGCTACTGCTGCTACACCAGCCTTTTTTTTCCCCCCCTAGGCCTGTAATGTCAGCCTGAAAAAAGCAGAATAAACAACCCTTAAGCAAATTCATACCGTAATCCTAGAGAAGGCTCTGTGGTGGATAAGTTTTTCCATGAGTCAGACAGCAAGCTAACATTCACTTGTTGTATAAGGAGGAACACTTTGTCATTTGTCATCAGCAGCCCTGGCTCACAAGCTTGGGGTGTAAGCGATGAGTAGCCTTTCCAAAGGGAAGCACTGAACAGGCCTTGTAAAAAAGCAGCCCAAGCCCTGCAGTGGTTCCGTGACTTCCATGGGGCCTGCTTCCAGATGAGCGGCCCTAGAGCTTGCTGGCTGCTGCTGAGTCCCCAAACACAGCTGCCCGCGGATCGCTTCCCTTTTCCCCTGACTAGAGAGGGCTAAAGCTAGGCCCTGCAGATCTGTGGCCATCCACGCAAGATTTAAAGCCCACAAAACCCTTGATCTTAAAATCTTCCTCTGCTGAGCCCTAGCATGAATATTTAATATTAACCACAAGCCCCATTAGGAGAATGGTCTCTTTCTTTGCGTGGGAAATACTTTTCCCTTTAGTAGCTCATTGCAGCTAATCCAACTCCGTTGGCCTCTGCCAGGACCGCCAGGTTCATGCACTGGGATCTGGACTTAGAGAAAACATGTCTGCCTGTTGGTTCCCAGTCCACTGTATTTCATGTGCTTGTAAATCCTTTTGATCTCTTAATACCTCCTGTTTATTCAGCCCCTGCTATGGAGCTCAAAGGAGTGACCTCATCCTTCCTTGACTTGCCCCCATGAGATGGGGAGAAACTGGGGCCTTTTCACTGTCCCCATGTGAGAGAACCAAAGGAGGCTGCCCTCTTACCCAGTGCCCCATGCGTGGGGCTGCACGGCCTCCCCAAGCCCAGCCTGTGGCTCGCAGCGTTTGGCTGCCCAGGAAGATACGACCTGACTTGAGGACAAGCTACATTTGTCCCCGTGCCCAGTCTGGGCCAGGCATGCACAAGAACAGTACCCATATTCTTGCACCGTGGGGTTTGCCAGTAACCAGTAACCCCACGTGACTTGACCTCACGACGGATGTGGGGGAGAAGGGGGAGGAACAAACGCTCTCTGTGTGCATTCTGCTCGGTGCTGCCCGTGAGCCTCAGCTGTGGGCAGACTACATGGTTTGTTGCCCGCAAAGCCTCAGCCCTGCTCGGGTGCAGATGTGGGACAGTGAAGTCAGTGTGTCACCTGCCGAGGGGTCTCATCGAGTGTCCTGCTGTGCATCGTGGGGAAACATCACAGACTTTCTCTCGCGCGTGCGTTTTCAGCCCCTACTTCAAGGATGTCTCTGGTCCCAGTGACAGGACTGCAGGGAGACAGCAGCAAGTTAACATTCGCCACGGTGGTTATTAATGATTGTTACATTGTTACTCATGTTATAATTAACAACAGCTAGCATTTGTTGTGCACATGTGGATTATCACTTAATCCTCACGGCAATCCTGGAAGTGGGCATTATTGCTACTCCTGTTTTACAGATTAAAAAACTATTGCACAGAGAGGTGAAGTGGCTTCCCCAGAGTCACAGAGCTGGTGCTCTCGACACGTGACAGTAGCCTCTCCCAAGGCCAAACAGAACATGCCTGCAAGACAGGACGGCACAGAGACTTCTCTGCTGGTTTTCCCAGGGGGTCCTTGTAGGGCTGGGGTGCTGATTAAGGGAGTAGTCCCTGCAGGACAGCTGTGGCTTCCCAAGAATAGAACTGCGGGGTGGCCCCTCGGCATTCATGCCTTTGGTGGGCTGTGGAGCGAATGGAGCCAGTGCTGCTCCACTGTATTTCTGTCCCAGGGGTTTGCATTGTTCTGGGTTTGGGCAAAAGTTACAGAAGTCGCTGCCCTTCTCTCACCTCCTTCCCATCAGCCACTCAAATCAAGGGCTTAGTGATGGTGTCACTCATCCTCTCCTTAGCAAGGAGGAGCCTCTTCACCCTGAACCTGGAATAACTGAGTTGCGACTGTTAAGATCTCGTTAGCATGCTATAGAGATCTTTTGAAATTTCCAGCAACATACCTCTTTAATTTTACTCGCAAGGAAATTGAGGCCCAGAGAGGGAAAATGTCTTACCCCAGGTCACACAGCAATCAGCATCAGTGTTAGGGCCAAAAGAAGGGTCTTCTGACACCCAGATCCGTGTCCTTTGCACTAGAGTCAGGTATTGGACCTTTGCCAAGAGGTGCCTTGAGGCGTTCCTAACTGTGTGTGCCTCACCACCACCCAGCAACAGGGCAAGGAGGCCCACCTTCTGGGAACAGGCAGAGTTGGTTCCCCCCACCCCTGGGTAGGGGGGTGCCTGGGTGTGCACGGCCCCTTCCTGCTGGAAATCTGCTCTGACAGCATCCTCTGTAAGGCAGGGTCCCAGAAGTTAGCCAAAGTGTGGAAGGTGTATGCTAACTAGCTTGAGTGGATTCATCTTGCTGGAAAGAGCTGAGAGACTGGAGCAGCTTGCATTCCCAATGTGGATTCATCTTGCTGGAAAGAGCTGAGAGACTGGAGCAGCTTGCATTCCCAATGTGGGAATGCCCATGGATATTCTCTGTCCTGGATTAAGGGCTAATGGGCACCTTCCAGAAGGGCTGAGGGTAATGTAGGCGCACAGGCTTGATGAAGTAGAGTCGTGGAAGAGAGGCTGGTGGGAAGGAGACCTAGGGGCAGAGGTGGCAGAGGAGGCTGTATTTTAAGGAAAGGGAACTTCTTCCCCGAGAGGAGGGGAATAAGGAGTCGGGGAGGCAGGAGTTAGGCAAAGGGAAACAAATTGCCGAAGATGCCTGAGCCCCTGAACTGATGTCTCCACACGTGTGTGCTTCCTCTGTCCTCCCGTAGGAGTCTATATTCTGATCGGAGCTGGCGCCCTCATGATGCTGGTGGGCTTCCTGGGCTGCTGTGGGGCTGTGCAGGAGTCCCAGTGCATGCTGGGACTGGTGAGTCTCCCCTCGGCATCCCCGCGGCCACCCTGACTCCCACCGCCAAAACCTCAGCAGGCCCAGACCCAGACCCACAGAACAGATGGAGGGGGATGGGGTCAAGAAGGTACCCAAAGGGCATGAGCTGTTCTCAGCCTGGGCCCCTCCCCAGTGTGAGGCATAGCCCCTCTTCCTTTCTGGAGCCTGTCTTATCGCTTCCCCTAGGCAACTAAAAGGACTTTGTTTCCCCCTTTTCTCGAGGACCACGTTTGCTTTTTTTCCCTGAATCCACAGGTACCTTTGCCTTCTTCTTGTTTCAAAATCTGTTTTGATCTTTTCCAAACTCCGTGGAGTGGATTCACTCCCTTTGCTTCCCCAAATCTCTGTGTCTTTTGTGAGCAATGGTAGTTTCCTGCTCACTGACTCTTAACTAACGCCTTGTAAATGCTAGTTCTGGGCTCGGCTGTGCTCAGCTCTTTCCTCATGTCCGGGCACCTTGCCTCACTGTGGCCTCTGTCCTGGGCTTGGTTAACTGCCTGTTCTGTGAACTTCTTCCCTGCCCCTTCTAGGCTATTCATTTGTGCCACCAGATGCCTGTTCCCCAGGGAGTTGTCCTTCCTTGTCCCAAAATACCCTTCGATTTTCCTGGCTGGTTGGCTGGGACTGTTCTCACCCCGTCCCCTCGCTGCCTTCCAGTTCTTTGGCTTCCTCTTGGTGATATTCGCCATTGAAATAGCTGCGGCCATCTGGGGATATTCCCACAAGGATGAGGTAGGTTTTTCCCATGAGATCTCTTGGGTTTGGGAGTTGGGGGATGGGGGACAGTGAAGCAGGGGGCAGGTCCTGGCTGGGCACTTTGTTACGCTTTCAGCTGTTGACCAGGCCCCTTATCTCATCGCGTGCCTGTGTGCCAGCGAACGTGCCCTCCTCGGGGCAGGGAATGTCAGCGCGCTTACTGTCCTGTGCGAGATGGTGTCAGTCATGGTGTTGGCTTATAGTAGATGATCAGGAACTACCCATTGGGCCTGTGCGTGTGTGTTTGTCCGTCTCACACCTCAGCAGCCCTCTCCCCCAACTTTTAGAAAGATTACTCAGAAAATACAGGCTTTCTGTGGTCTGGACACCCTTGCCTCCTCCTCTGATCTATAAATAACACGTTCAAGTGCTGCCCCCATGAGCCAAGTGCTGCCCCCAAGCCTGTGCAAGGTCCACAGATGTTTGAACTATGGGCCCCACTTCCAGAGACTTGGCCATCTAGTATGGGAAAAAGACGTGAAATCAACAAGGGTCATAGAGGTGATTTATATCCAAAGTACTATGGGATTTGAAAAGGTGGGGTGGGGAAGGGAATCTCTTTTGGCTTCATAGACAAGGGAGCCGTGAAACCTTGAATGAGAGATGTGTTCAGGAGGAAAGTTAGTGGAGGCAGGGGACTTCCAGTCAAAGGGGTTGAGCATGGCTGGGCTTGGGCTTACGTGGGGAGCCCTGCAGAGTTTTGGACCAGGATGGGCCATATCAGAGTAGTGTTTTTGGAAGGGTTACTTTGTCATGTTCAGCAGGAAGGGGGAAGGAAGAGAGATGCTGGAGGCAGGAACCCTATTGTTTTGTTTTGTTCTTGAGACTAGTCAAGTACGGTAGTGAGAAACAGGGAAAAATGGAACAAGGACTTCCATCTGTAACTGACGTGAACAATCCATTGAGATAACTCACTACTTTTAGACCAGCCAAGGGAACTCTGTTTAAAAAAAAAAAGTAGGCCAGGTGCGGTGGCTCAAGCCTGTAATCCCAGCACTTTGGGAGGCCGAGACGGGCGGATCACGAAGTCAGGAGATCGAGACCATCCTGGCGAACACGGTGAAACCCCGTCTCTACTAAAAAAATACAAAAAACTAGCCGGGCGAGGTGGCGGGCGCCTGTAGTCCCAGCTACTCAGGAGGCTGAGGCAGGAGAATGGCGTAAACCCGGGAGGTGGAGCTTGCAGTGAGCTGAGATCCAGCCACTGCACTCCAGCCTGGGCAACAGAACGAGACTCCGTCTCAAAAAAAAAAAAAAGTATCCAAGCAATAACAGCTACAGCCATAGAAATAGGAAGGGATCATTGTGAAAAATGTCAGAAAGATGCTGAAGGAACAATGCTGGCTGTTGGTCTGTTAACTGGATGTGGGTGAGCATCAGAGGGACAGATATGCATCAAATTGGGATGTGCCAGATGCAGGCACATAATAATATATCCCCTATATTATAATACAATAGCTGACATGTCCTCCAGATTTACTCTGTACTGGACATAGTGGCAAAGGGCTTAATGTGCAATATCTCATTTACATTCTCACAATAACCTATGAGCTATAGGGACAAATGTGGAAACTCCGTACAGAGAGGTTTAGTGATTTGCCAAAACTCATACCTAAGTGAAGAGAAAAAGAAGATGGAAGCCTGAGGAAATAGTCAAGTCAGGAGTCGTAGTTTTTAAAATATTATTATCCTTTAGAGCATAGAGATTCAATTTAGGAGCGAAGCAGAGCTGAAGAACTGACCAAAGTATAAGACACAGAGAGAAACGGCCAGAGTGGGTTTCTGGAGGATGTGGGAGGAGATAGGAAGTGCCCAAAGGCCCCGAGAGAAGGCAGTGCTAGCGGCTGCCATCTGCCCAGTGATGTCCAAGCACATGGCCGAGAGCTTAAAGAGAGAGAACAAGATGGAACGCGTAACATTTGTTCGTGGAGAAAGGTGTGAAAATGCCGCCTCTGCCCCTCTCTTGTCTGCCCATCGCAGGTGATTAAGGAAGTTCAGGAGTTTTACAAGGACACCTACAACAAGCTGAAAACCAAGGATGAGCCCCAGCGGGAAACGCTGAAAGCCATCCACTATGCGGTATGTCGCCTTGGCAGAGACACCCTCCTGCGCTCACTCCGGACCGTGTCTGCACACAGCGGTGCTGACTGTACCAGACCAGTGCAGACATTCTAATCATCTTTTTAAAATGCGTTTCTCTCATCCCCATCCCTGCCTTCTCGCTGTAGTTGGACTGCTGTGGTTTGGCTGGGGGTGTGGAACAGTTTATCTCAGACATCTGCCCCAAGAAGGACGTACTCGAAACCTTCACCATAAAGGTAAACTCAGATCAAGATCCTGGCGCCCCTGCACCATTACTGTGGGCAAACCCTGCAAGCATAAAAGTGACAGCAGCCAAGTGCTGCTTCAGAAAGACCCGGTCTGCCTGTGAAAGGGTCCCAGGGCACCCATCTCTTTCTCCCCTACTTTGGGCCCTCTGTTTACTGAAGGGCAGTAAAACAAAGGCCAGACCAGGGGAACGACAAGTGCTCTGGCACCGCCCACTGCTGCCAGCCTGGAAGCTGTCAAGGGCAGGCGTGCTTCTGAGTCTCGGACTCCCGCTCTGACTTTGTCAGTGGCTCCTGTCTGTAAGCCGGAGTTAATGTCCAGCTCCAAAGTAATAAAAAGTGACCTTACAACTGTATCAGAAATAGGCCCCCAAGCAGGGCCTGTCCCTCCTCCTTCCCTGATGTCCTGCCCAAATGTTTAGCATCCATTAGCATAGTCATCCCTTTGTTCCCCTTTCCATCCACCAGCCAGAACTTCTCTTATCCCTGAACACCCCTGTCCCCAGCCCACCAGTTCTCCCGGGTGAGACGGGTGTCGTGGGAGGAAGGAGGTGCCCCGGGAGCAAGGATTGTGTGTGACCCAGGTCTTGGTTTGTCTCCCCAAGTCCTGTCCTGATGCCATCAAAGAGGTCTTCGACAATAAATTCCACATCATCGGCGCAGTGGGCATCGGCATTGCCGTGGTCATGGTGAGTGGCGGAATGTCATCCCGGGGGGGACTGAGGAGTTCACACTGATTCAGCCCATGCTCTGCCCAGACACTGCCGCAGTCTGTGCATTTGTCAGCTCACTTTGTCCTCGTGCCCTTAGTATTTCCATTTTACCACTAGGGAATGTAGAGACAGAGAGGCTGCCGTTCTGATCAAAGCCTCTCACCTCCTGAGTGGAGTATCTGAGGTTTCCCCTGGGTTTCTTCAGAGTCGACTCTCTTAGCCATTAAGGTTCAGGGCACATGGGCAGCAGTGCTGGCGCTGCTAGTCCTCAGAGCATGTCTCCTCACGCACCTGCTGTTCTTCTCCCTAAGAAAGGAGTTCACTAGAGGCTACCGGCATGGGAATTATTTCCTGAAGAGCCTCTGAAAATGGGCAGCCAGAAGGAGGTCTCCTGCTAATCAGCCCCTAGAAACCAACAAGGGCCAACCAGGTTCCTTGGGGTCATGTCCTCTCTCCCCGTGGGGGAAAGCACAAGACGGAACATAGTCCTCACTGGGATGGCCTTGGCTCCCTGACTCTTCCCCCACCCCCGCCCGCCTCTGCCCCCTTGCCAGACTGCCCCCAAAGAGAGAATCGCCTCCTTTCTCCAGCATCTAAGAAAGGCATGAAGTACCTTTCAGCAAAAGATACAATAATACCTTCTTTCTTTTCTTTTTTTCTTTTTTTGAGACGAAGTTTCACTCTTGTCGCCCAGGCTGGAATGCAGTGGTGTGATCTCGACTCACTGCAACCTCCACCTCCCGGATTCAAGCAATTATCCAGCCCCAGCCTCAGCCTCCTGAATACCTGGGACTACAGGCGTGTGCCACCACACCCAGCTAATTATTTTTAGTAAAGATGGGGTTTCACCATGTTGGTCAGGCTGGTCTTGACCTCCTGATTTCAGGTAATCTGCCCATCTTGGTCTCCCAAAGTGCTGGGATTACAGGCGTGAGCCACTGTACCCAGCCAAGATATAACAATACCTTTTAAAATAGAATATTAGGCCAGACATAGTGGCTCATGCCTGTAATCCCAGCACTTTGGGAGGCCGAGACGGGCGGATCACGAGGTCAGGAGATCGAGACCATCCTGGATAACACGGTGAAACCCCATCTCTACTAAAAATACAAAAATTAGCCAGGCGTGGTGGCGGGCGCCTGCAGTCCCAGCTACACGGGAGGCTGAGGCAGGAGAATGGCGTGAACCCGGGAGGCGGAGCTTGCAGTGAGTGGAGATTGCACCACTGCACTCCAGCCTGGGCGACAGAGCAAGACTCTATCTCAAAAAAATAAATAAAATAATAATAATAATAAAATAAAATATTAACACTTTGGGAGGCCGAGGCAGGCAGATCGCACCATTGCATTCTAGCCTAAGCAACAGAACAAGACTCCGTCTCAAAAAAAAAAAAAAAAGAATATTAAATACACACAAAGACAAGCGCAAAAGCACTAACCTGTATGAACTGTAGGAAAACCTGGAATTTGAGCATTTAATTTGGCTCTGAGCTTCCTTGTCCCACCCTGAAAGTTCCCAAGGAAGCTGCTTGTGCACCTGACTGCCAACCCCCCAGATTCCTCACGTCCCGCATCCTTCTCATTATCTGGCCTGCATCGCTCCTGCTTCGGTACCTTCGGACTCGTTTGGCCTCCTGGATGCCATTCTCCTCGTCATTTGTCTTGGACTGGGTGACCCGTGTCTCTCCCTTTCCCTCAGCCTGCCTTCACATCAAACCACCCTGATCCTCATGTCTCTTCCTCTCTCCCAGATATTTGGCATGATCTTCAGTATGATCCTGTGCTGTGCTATCCGCAGGAACCGCGAGATGGTCTAGAGTCACCTTACATCCCTGAGCAGGAAAGTTTACCCATGAAGATTGTTGGGATTTGTTTGTTTTGTTTGTTGTTTGGTTTTTGTTTTTGGTTTTGGTTTTTTTTGCCACTAATTTTAGTATTCATCCTGCACTTCTAGGTAAAAGCTAAAGTTATTTTATGTTTGTCTTTTAATGCTTCATTCAATATTGACATTTGTAGTTGAACGGGGGGTTTGGTTTGCTTTGGTTTATATTTTTTCAGTTGTTTGTTTTTGCTTGTTATATTAAGCAGAAATCCTGCAATGAAAGGTACTATATTTGCTAGACTCTAGACAAGATATTGTACATAAAGAATTTTTTGTCTTTAAATAGATACAAATGTCTATCAACTTTAATCAAGTTGTAACTTATATTGAAGACAATTTGATACATAATAAAAAATTATGACAATGTCCTGGACTGGTTTTGATTTCCTTTAATTATTTTGAGAGCTATTTGGTTTGCAAATGTCTTTCAACTGCTATTAACTCTACCTGCATTTATATGAGAAGTAGTTTGGGAAGTTGCTCACCCCAGTTTACTAATGGAGAAATCTAGATGTGGAGCGATTAAGGGATTCGGATCCAGAGTCACACAGGTGTTAACAGAGGAGTCAGCACCAGCAGCTGGCCCCCAGACGCTCATTCAGCAGTGACACGTATATCTTGGGGACATGACAGTACACGTCACACCATGGTGGCAGGAACTTTGTTTTATTCACTGCCTAGCCGTCAGTTTCTGGTGCATAGTAGTGCTCAGTATTTTTTATCAGTTAATATTTGTTGGTTGAATGAATAAATGAGTGTGTACCCATCAGGGTTTCATCAGAAAAGCAGAACCACTAAGAGGTACTTGTTTGAAGAGATTTGTTGTGGGAATTTGACCTTACACAGTCACTGGCACTGGGGCTGCTTAAGCAGGCTCTGCAGACAACTGGGAAGGACAGACGGACGTAACGTAAGGGAGGACAAGCCCGAGTGGGAGCCCTTGAAAGCAGACACATCGTCTGTGTCAGTTCTTTTTTTTTTTTGAGACAGGATCTCACTCTGTTGCCCAGGCTGGAATGTCGTGGCCCAATCTCAGCTCCCTGTAGCCTCCCAAGTAGCTGGGACTATAGGCATGAGCCACCATACCTGGTTAATGTTTGTATTTTTTGTAGACAGGGGTTTTGTCATGTTGCCCAGCCTGGTCTTGAACTCTTGGTCTCAAGTTATCCACCCGCCTTGGCCTCTCAAAGTGCTGGGATTACAGGCGTGAGCACCCGGCCCTGTGTTAGTACCTGCCTCTGCTGAGGTGAGCCAGCAGAGAAGTCACAATTCGTGTGAGCTGTGAAATGACTGCTGCTTCACTTCCCACCTCCAAACCTTCCACAAGTTTCTCCTCTGTGCTCTGCTCTTAACCGGAAACACACGGGAAGAGAATTCTGGGAAGTGTGGTTCAGCTTACCCCAGGTGGACAGATCACAAAGCCACCGCTGCATGGGAGGTGTGGTCCGTGCTCAGACTGCACTGTCGTGGGCAATTCGGAGGCAAGCAGGCAATAATGGCAGAGTGGGATGAACAGGAGAAAGGTGAAGTGCAGAGGCATAAGAAACCGATTTTTATTTTCCATTCCTTGATTCCATTTGGGTTCCTCCTTAACACTACAAAAAGAAAAACAGGAAAGGATCAAAATGTCCCTGAATGCCATTACATTCAAACATCAAAACACCAAAGTTGATAGCAGCGTTATTCACAACAGCCAAAAGGTGCCAACTCAAATGTCCATCCACAGATAAATGGACAGACAATACGTGGCATATCCATATGATGGAATAGAATTCCACCTTAAATGCTGCACATGGATGAACCTTGAGTACACCATGCTCACTGAAATAAGCGAGACACAAAAGAACAAATATTCTACAATTCCCTTGATAGGAGGTACCTAGAATTGGTAAATTTCTAAAGAAGGTAGATTAAAAGTAACCAGAGGCTAGGGAGAAGGGAAAATAGGGAGTTATGGTATAATGAGTACAGAGTTTCTGTTTGGGATAATGAAGAAGTTCTAGAAACAGATGGTGGTGATTGTTGCAAAACTTTGTGAATATACTTAGTGCCACTACATTGTATGCTTAAAAATTGTTAATATGGGCTGAGCACGGCGTCTCACATCTGTAATCCCAGCACTTTGGGAGGTTTAGGTGGGAGGATTATTTGAGCCCAGTTCGAGACCAACCTGGGCAAAATAGTGAGACCCAATCTCTTTAAAAAACAAAACAAAACAAAAACAACTGGCTGGGCATGGTGGTGCACACCTGTGGTCCCAGCTACTTGGGATGCTGAGTTGGGCGGATCACCTGAGCCTGGGAGGCCAAGGCTGCAGTGAACCATGATCTCACCACTGCACTCCAGCTGAAGCAACAGAGCGAGATGCTGTCTCAAAAAAGGAACAAAAAAAGGGTCAAAGTGGTAAATTGATTATTACATATATTTTACTACACACAAAAAAATAGCTGGGTTGGCATTGTTGAGTGTCCTTGCTGCTCTGTGGCCCTAGGTCCCTTGTTAATCTGAGGGCTGACTACTGTTCCGGTTGTGGAAATAACGGGTCAACCATTCATTTTATTTTATTATTTTTAGGAGATGTAGTTTCGCTCTGTTACCGAGGCTGGAGTGCAGTGGCACGATCTTGGGTCACCGCAACCTCTGCCTCCCAGGTTCAAGCCATTCTCATGCCTCAGCTTCCCGAGTAGCTGGGACTACAGGCACTCACCACTACGCCCAGCTAACTTTCCGGTTTTTAGTAGAGACGGGTTTTGCCATGTTGGTCAGGCTGGTCTCGAACTCCTGACCTCATGATCCACCCGCCTCGGCCTCCCAACGTGCCGGGATTACAGGCATGAGCCACCACGCCTGGCCAACCATTCATTTTATGTAGGAGTGGAGGAGACCCCTGAGGAGTTCTAACATCAGCCCTGCGTGTAGTCGCCAGCCCCTTCTAGAGAAAGCAGATCTCAGAGGCTACACGCACTTTCCACGCTGCTGCTTTGCTGAAGGGTAGGTTAGTATGGAATAGACCTTGACTCCTTAAATCCCGGAACACCTCAGAGCTATCTATATCCTGCCTTTCTGTTGTTAATAACGTAAGGACAAATGGGCTAGCTTAGGCAAAAGTGAGCAATTAACCCAAGAATGAAAATAGTTGAGCCTTAGGAAGATTCTGGAAACATGGACTAGGAACTCCTACAGCTCTCCATTTCTGTGCTACTACATTTTGTTCTCTGAGGAGACCAACTTTGCTACTCAGTTCTCATGGGGTCGGGAAAGGGCTGCCCCCCCAGCTCCCCAGCTTACAGAGAGACAACCTCCATTAGCCCCACTTGAAGTTTTAGGAGAGAAAAATTTGACCCAGTTTAAGTCAAATGTCTACCTCTGTCCCCTCAGCTAGCAGCGGGCAGGGAGGGGTGTGTGGAGTAAAGACTCGGCTACCCTCTGTGACCTCTTACCGGGCCTAGCGCCAGAAGACAAGGGATCATTGCAAGCTGGCAGACATCCCAAAAGGAGCGGGCTGTCCACACCCTCAATCAGGCCTAAACGAGCCTCCCCTGACTTGTGGCGGGCAGGGCCAGGTGTAGCTCTGCAGTTAAGGGAAAACCAGGACGGCCTGCTGCTCTCGGCTCCTGAAGGGCCTTGGAACAAATGCCTTTACGAAGTTTAGGTCACAAAAAGGCAACAGACACTGCCAAAAGCAACAACTGCTTTGGGTCCAGAAAGAATCTCCTTGAGCATAAGAGAAGCAGTTGTATGGAGGTGTTGGCCTCTTGGCTCAACTGTAAAAAGCAGCCCAGGGGCAACAAATTTGAATCAAAGCAGCTGGATTTAGTAAAAGGACATTTTACCAGTGTCCTCAAGGACTGAAAGTGCTTTAATATCCATAAACCCCCTGGACTCTCCTCCCAAGGCCCTACTCTCCAAACCTATGTCCTCTGGATGGAGTTGAGTGGCCAAGGGTGGGACCAAGACTCCACATGGATCCAGGGGCTCATTCCATGATGCTGTCATTTCCTAGAGGCCTCCGGGTGTACAGGGAATCGTTTCACTGACAGGCAGACCAGGATATCTCATGAGCTCCTTGGGCACAAGACGGAGCAGTATGGGCGGAATTCCAGCACAATGAGGCATATCCGTGGTTGGGTGAACACAATCACACAAGGGGGAGAGGTCTCTACCTGTGCAGCCCTGCCATGTTCCTTAACTGGTCAACGTTTTAAATGATAACTTGGAATACTACTAAATACGGCCAGGTGCAGGATCACGCCTGTAATCCCAGCACTTTGCGAGGCTGAGGTGGGTGGATCACTTGAGGTCAGGAGTTCAAGACCAGCCTGGCCAACATAGTGAAGCACCATCTCTACTAAAAGTACAAAAAATTAGCCAGGCATGGTGGCGGGCACCTGTAATCCCAGCTACTCGGGAGGCTGAAGCAGGAGAATCGCTTGTACCCGGGAGGTGGAGGTTGCAGGGGGCCAAGATCGCACCACCACTGCACTCCAGCATGAGCAACAGAGTGAGACTCCGTCTCAAAAAAAAAAAAAAAAAAGAAGAAAAACAAAAAAAAAACAAAAAACAGGCTCACACCTGTAATCCCAGCACTTTGGGAGGCCGAGACGGGCAGATCACGAGGTCAGGAGATCGGGACCATCCTGGCTAACACGGTGAAACCCTGTCTCTACTAAAAGAATACAAAAAAACTAGCCGGGCGAGGTGGCGGGTGCCTGTAGTCCCAGCTACTCGGGAGGCTGAGGCAGGAGAATGGCATAAACCCGGGAGGCGGAGCTTGCAGTGAGCTGAGATCGCACCACTGCTCTCCACCCTGGGTGACAGAGCGAGACTCTGTCTCAAAAAAAAAAAAAAAAAAAATTAGCTGGGCGTGGTGGCGCCTGTCGGTAGTCCCAGCTACTCGGGAGGCTGAGGCAGGAGAATCGCTTAAAACCAGGGAGGTGGAGGTTGCAGTGAGCCGAGATCGCACCACCACACTTTAGCCTGGTGGCAGAGAGACTCAGTCTCAAAAAGAAAAACCAAAAGACTTTTACTAAATACTGTATTATTACGTGTATATTTCACAAGGCTCTGAGAAATACCCAGTAATTTGAGTAACAGAAGTATAGTTCAAAGAGATCTCCGAGACTGGAATAATAGAATATGACACCCAAAGGATATATCTCAACAGGAATAAGTAAACAAAATCAAGCAATCCATACAATATGTTTAGTAGCCCTTGGTCCTTTCCACAGCACTTTAAGTTAGCTGGGCAAGCACATATTTGACTGGTTAGATAACAGGGTTTTTCTCATATGTTAAATCCGGAGGGAATTAGAAGTGTTGATTTAGCAGCTCCACTCTGTGGAAGATGGCATCTCTCTGATTCTCTTGG